GCGCCGACACTTCTGTTAGGTTTCTTCCCCGGAAGCACAAGGTTCTTCACTCATTGCAACATCGACGAGAAGGATAAAAAGCAGCGAGTTATACACGGAAGGATCGGTGCGGATGTGTGAAAACGTCCATCGGACATCGTGCCTCTCGTGACAGCGATGCCAGTCTATGAGCTGCAGGCAATCCGTAGTCTCAACGTCTTCATCTCGCGGAGAAACCGCTGGTAGAAGGCCGCCAATCGATCGGTTATGGTAATCCTAGTGGCTGGCTGGATCGTAAAAAAAGGTCGCGTCCGCCAGCGTGATTTTGCATTTCCTTGCTTCGAGAAATCACGCCGAGCAGTGTTCGATGTTTACGACGCGATTAACCGTACTCGTTCCCCATGGTCGCCTGCCGATTTTCTATGCAGCCTTCGGCTTCTGTGGAAACGGTCGAGGATTCCTGAAGAGGCCGAATCGAGATCTCGAGAAGTTTGGATCGTGAAGAACGTTCGTAGAAATCGGTAAACTGCTTAAGCGTGAATTATGAAAGGATGCCCGAATGGGGTGAAAAGAGTTAGGAAGTTTGGGGTTACTTGAACGAATCATACAAATTGACTGACAATGAGAGAATTGTCAAAGTTTGGAGAAAGTGGGGTTACACAGGATCTTATTAGGAAAAAATGTGGAAAGAGTTCAGCCTGAACATAGAACCTTGATCTATAATATATTAACCGAGATAGTTCGATACGTTGAGCAATTTGAGTTTACCATAATGGCTAATACGCGCAGCTTCAGGGTACTAACTACACAGGAAATTTCTTTAGACGTGATTTACAGTTCGCTGTCAGAAGTGTACTTAAATTTACAAAGTTCGACGTACAAGAAGATTATCAGCACGCGAGTAACAATGAAAGATCTCGAAAGGTCATGGCGTTACGACAAGGCTGAAAATGCGTAGCACCTGTACCATGAGAGCCCGCGAAGCGTGCACGAGCCTCTACCCCCTGGCATCGAGCATTATTATCGCGTTACCACGTAATCGCCCATATAACTTACACCGCTATGAATTATCATTAACGCCTCGAGCAATCCCCCGGGCGGAATTCAAGCTGCTCGTGCACTCGTTGAGGTGGCCGTGTTTGTCGTAATGGCACGTGTCCTGAGAATCGCGAAACCTTTGTCCGTCAATTCCTTCAACGTTTGTCGCACGGAAGTATTCAATTTTAACATTAATGTGATTGGAGACAAGTTCTCTTGGAGACAAGTGCGAGAAGGGACAAATATTCAAATGGGGTTGAAATATGAAATATTCCATAATATAAATAATAGTTGCATAATTGTGATCATATATTACTCATAACAGCTGATAGATACCCATTTGGTAAATTTGGAACAGTAATATTCTGGGTTGCATATACATACGATCTTGAAGTGGGTTATTTCTTGTAAAGTACCGAAATTTTCGGCTGATGCCAGTATTCGATCGTCAGAGAGGTAAAGCACGTCGAGGATTTATCCGGCTTCCTCGGCGATCATATCGCACAGGGTCTAATCGATAAACAACGAGGCGATTGTAAACCAACATCGATCGAACGTTAGGAAAGCCCGATCCGAGGCGATAGGGGGATCAACACAGGATCCACGTCGCGAGTCGGTCACGATTAAGACAATAAGATTTTACGATGTCCCTTATTTCAGCCACTTATCCTACGGGGATCTGACCGTGTTCGGGACGTTATTACATTTTCATCGGTGCACTGCTGGTTTCGTAAGCGACCGAGAGATTTTGCTCGAAGATGACCTACTCCGCGCGATAGGCACCGCTAAAAGCCAATCATTTAATAACTTACGCCCGGCTTCAAGATTACGATCGTCTGTGGTACCACGGCGAATCGGATCATGCTCTGTAATCAAATGTTGTTACCGACTTTTATTACGCCGTTAATGCGACTCGCTGTGCGATTATTCTTACTTCCTTCTGTTACACGTACTCTGTGTAAAAACCTGACTTCTCAGAAGACCGTCAAATATTCTTGGCACTCGATGCTTCAGACACTCGAATAGTCTTCAGATAAATTTCTATGAGTTCATTTTTAAAATAGACCTGATAATTCTTGGTCCCAGAATTAAATTTGTAATACCATGTTTTTAAACATAGATTCAGTTTCGAGACATAGACACTTTGTTCATATGGCAGTCTGCAAAAGGGGTCGAAATTCAGTCCCTTCTGCCATGTGTTCTTTTTCTTTTTAATGTACATCCACGCTTATCTTGAATCAGAAAAGATGAAATAAATTCAAACGACATCATTTGTACTCAGACGAAGTAAATTGTCAGTGTAAAAAGTCAAAAGAAGTAGTGATTCGAATGTCAATTAATTTGGGGATTCGTGTTCGCAGGCTACACGGATACGAATGGCAGACCCGTTCTCGAGTTCGAGGATGACCCATCCAGAAGGGAGACTCTCACCGTTAAAGAAGCGTCGTCGTTTCTTCTCTACCTCGCTCGTTTACCCAGGTACGTATCGGATATATTATTATATCATTGAACGAAGTATCGTATATCTTTCTGTCGCTTGATTTAATAGGTTTGATTCACGTAATCGAAATTAATTATAACTCTTATCGTAATAAATTGCGTAAGGAAAATTTCTCGGGTTACTTCTGCGATATTTCACTGGACTCTCGCGCCGATATTCCGAACATTCTTGGGCGTAATTTTAGCTTTTTTATCTTCGTTGCAAACTTGTACAGTGATAAACTACTTCATGTAAATTTTAGAGACATTTCCGCAATATTTTGAGGCATTGCTTTTTACAAGAAATTTTGAATAAAGTAAACAATTTATGTTTACGTTATTTTGTTACCATTGACGCATGGATGTATAAAATCTTTTTTTAAGTTGATAAAATTATGCAAGGAAGAGTTTCTTTTTCTGGCAGCATAGTAATATTACTATTACACGGCGATGCGGCGATAAAATCGAAAAGTAATCATCTGTCTGTCAGATTACACGAAATATCAGACGGTACCTGTTCCTCGATCAGGAAATTGCACGACAGACAATTTGAAGGTGTTCCGATGTGGAATTGGCACGGGATCCCATTGGCGGATCGAAAACGAAACGGGACAAGGATAACGATAAAATAAATTGGCATTATGCTCGATTCTTATCAATGAAATATGCACTTTCTCCGAACAATGGGCATATTATGTAATGCGAAATATATTCAGTTTCCTCGTGCACGCTTTCCTCGATGCCGCGATAATGGACCCCACCGTTATTCAAAATTCTATTCCGACGCGTTAAGTGGCGCATGATTTACCGCCATTCCCGTCCCGCCGCCTTTTATTCTACCGCTCGAACACCGTTTTAACGCGTCGTCGATACGATCGGCAAGTCCCGGAGAAGAGAAAGAATTCTACTCGGAGAAAGGGCAACACCTGTTTATATCCTCTATCCGCACGACAATATCGCGTTTCTCCAAATTCCGTTCGAATAATTCAACTTTACAATTAACCCTTTGCGCCCGAGAGGTGGCTCTCAGTCACCATTTTATTTAATACAATAATTTGAAACAAGCATTTTTAACTGGTTCTTTAATATGACACGTGTGGTGTATAAACATAGTGAAACAAAGAATAATGGAAACTAGTGGACAAATAATAACCTCAATAGAATTCATTTAACTTTTTAACTAAATTTTAAAGTTGCTGTTTGTGAACAGTCAAATTACCTTCGAGTGCAAAGGATTAACCCTTTGCGCCCGAGAGGTGACTCTCAGTCACCATTTTATTTAACACAATAATTTGAAACAAGCATTTTTTAACTGGTTCTTTAATATGACACGTGTGATGCATAAACATAGTGAAACAAACAATAGTGGAAATTATTAGTAGACAAATAATAACCTCAAAAGAATTCATTTAACTTTTTAACTAAATTTTAAAGTTGCTGTTTGTGAACAGTCAAATTACCTTCGAGTGCAAAGGATTAACCCTTTGCGCCCGAGAGGTGACTCTCAGTCACCATTTTATTTAATACAATAATTTGAAACAAGCATTTTTTAACTGGTTCTTTAATATGACACGTGTGATGCATAAACATAGTGAAACAAACAATAGTGGAAATTATTAGTAGACAAATAATAACCTCAAAAGAATTCATTTAACTTTTTAACTAAATTTTAAAATTGCTGTTTGTGAACAGTCAAATTACCTTCGAGTGCAAAGGGTTAATCCTTTGCGCCCGAGAGGTGGCTTTCAGTCACCATTTTATTTAATACAATAGTTTGAAACAAGCATTTTTAACTGGTTCTTTAATATGACACGTGTGATGTACAAACATAGTGAAACAAAGAATAATGGAAACTATTAGTAGACAAATAATAACCTCAAAAGAATTCATTTAGCTTTTTAACTAAATTTTAAAGTTGCTGTTTGAAAAGAGTTAAATTATCTTCGAGTGCAAAGAGTTAACCCCTTGACTTTGACGAGTCTCACTCGTGATGCATTTAGAAATCAAATCTTCCTCAAATTTTTAACACTCTTCAACTTGAAATTTAGGTCCAACAATAATTTGCATAATGAAGAATCGCTGAATATACTCACATTTTAATTTTCTTTATTTGTTTTAACATGTTTTGACTGACGCATCTGGCAAATAAATTGTACGGCAAGAGATTAACGAATCAGAACATATTGACATTAGAATTAATTTTCAATCCTAGCAAGAGAATCGGTAAAGAGGCTTGCCTTCTCGAGGTAGCAATTAATTGAAATCCCCGATAATGTTGGTCGTTTATCAGCGTAATTGAATTATCCGAAGGTAATTGCTCGGCAATTTTTCGACTCTCGAAACGGCTATCGATTAGCGACTGGTTACAGAAACGTATCGGACTAATTAATAGCGGTGGCCGATTACGGGTAGACGTTCGTCTAGGCGATTCTCCGAGTAAAGAAGAGTGATGTCGAGCGAAACGCAAGCCGCGATTTTGCACCTCGTCTGTGATTACGGTGGGCGGCAACGGTCATGTTACGATCGTGGAAAATTATAATTATTACGAAAACCGTGTTCGATCGCTTGTTTGTTTATTTGTTGGAAAGTGCGCGACTCGTCCCTTCCCTTTTGAGGGGATTAATAAATCGTCGATTCAGTGCCGGTCGATTGCAGTTATTATTGCCGGCGATCGCGGAGGAAAAGCGGACAGATGAGCGTAATAAATCGCGAGTGGTGCCCGAAAGTTATATTTTTCGGCCAATTGAATTATACGAGAAGTCAGTTGTTAATAACGTTTTTTTAACTAGGATATTTATTAGTGTACTTTTATTACGAGACTTTTTACCTATAAAATTTTAATGACCTTTTTTATTCCGAGCGCTTAAATTAATTTCTCCCTGACGTGTTCGTTTATCGTTTCTCGCTACATAAAATTCAACGACCCTAATTGGAACAAGGAAGCAGGAATTAATAGCTAATTTATGGCTAGTAGATAAATATTGCTTATTTTTAACGTCAAATATTTCTCCAAGTAAACGAGGATGTCTGAGAAAATATGAAGGTGTGAGAAATCAAGATCTTTTGTTTCGTTTTTAATAAAACATTGCAGAATTTTCACAAGCAATTAATAGGAATGCAAACGCCAAACAGCAGATTCTCAAGTTCTTTCGTTCAACCACCTTCGCATACTCGGGTCGTAAAACATATCGTGCGATAGCCACGGCAGCCCATTGCGGTATCGTTCATCGTGCAACTTTATGGTGCCCCGTGCAACCGTCTTGTTCGAACAAACCCCATTCGAAGAAACGAGAAGCCCGAGGAGCGAAGAAGACGCTCGATATTGCTCGAGGCTCCTCTCGAGAGCTTGTCTATCTTTCGACATCTTGCATGCGCTTTTCGTGCGAGTACAGGAAAATCGACCGACTCGATACTCGTGATTCTCGATATTCTCTGAATTTAGCTCGTAAATATTCGCCAAGGTATAATTGCGGCACTTTTGTCCGCTTCCGGCGGTATTTGCATTTATGAATCTTAACGGATATTTTTATAAATTTCCATTTTCATCGATTTCACGGAAAAGCTCGGAGAAATTACGAGGCCTATCGTACTTCATCTTGGAAAACGATTCGACTGCATTCCGCGATGAAATTCCTCACAGTCAGCTTTAATGTTCTTCGGGGTAATTAACGTTTTATAATGCGATACGCGAATATTTTGCGTCTCGACGGAGTTTTCCCATGCTGCGAAATATCCGCGCGAAATTCCAAACGAGCTCTTACGGTGTACATCAAAATTCAAGGATTAGTTGAGTTGTATTGTTGTATATCTATCTTGCATTAGCAGGATATTTCTTTAGGAGAATAGATATGAAGCATTTTCGTTAGAATAGGTATGAAACGTTTCTATGTTTAATTGGTTAGCATGAAAATCTTCAAATGATACAATCTTTGTCAACAGTTTTATAGAGAGTATAGAGGCAATATATGTATGTACATATGTATAGACATTAGAATTAATTGCAGCAAAGTCAGAGACGGTCATAGGGACATTAAAATAAGATCATGTTCGAAAAATAGTATAAAGTATAACCTCAGACATAGACATATTGCTACATACTTTATATGTTAATGTATACTTGAATAATTGTAGCAAAATCAGAAATCATAGAATAATTGGTACAAAAGTCAGAGACGATCATAGGGACATTAAAATAAGAACATGTTTAAAAAATAGTATAAGGTATAACCTCAAACGTAGACATGTTGCTAAATACTTTATATGTTAAGTAGAGTATACTTGAATAATTGTAGCAAAATAAGAAATCATAAAATAATAGATCCAGTAGGTACATTTACGTAAAGACAGTACAAAGTATGAGTACTTGAACATAAACATATTGCTACATTATTTTAAATGTTACATTATACGTCAAGTTACATAAAATACGTAAGATACAATGTACGTCAAGATACATAAGATGCATTATAAATATTTGAAGTAATATTTTTCATCATTGAAAGTGGACAAACGATACTTCATTTCGAAGTCGATTTCTCGTAGAGTCTCTAAAGAATCCCAATAAGTGTTCGTTGAATACAGAATCCTGCAATTCCCACGATCGTCCGAGATAATAGTGGCGACTGTGCAAACAGTTTCACCTATCGGATGATCCTCGAAACTGGCACGCGGAAGGTCGCGGGACCCTCTGGTCATTATGCGTTCATAATAACGAACGTATCGCGGTAATAACTGCGATATGTTCCGGTAGCGAAGAAGAAAGCGGATCCAACGAGGCAGACACCGCTGGAATCCGCCGACGAAAGCTAACAGTGTCATAATGATCCACGGAACACGATCGCCATAAGTCAACGTACCGGTTACGCGGGATTCATTAGTATTTTTCTTCGTGCGGCTTCTTTTTTTTTGTTTTCTCTGGCGAGTGCACGGTGGGAAAGCGACGTGGACGTAACGGCGAGTAGGATTATTCTTGACCTCTGAATTTTCGCACACTTTTCATT